GCTACGATGCAATGTGCTGGCATAGCGGACTCGTTTTTCCATCAACAACGGATTTTTTTGCACCCAAAAGCAAATATGATTTAGGTGATGGCCGCAATTCTCATGGGAATGGGGAGGATATAATGCCACAAACCTAGTTTAGAAGATTTGTTCTAGGGCATAAACTCACGAATCTTAGACTATTGTAAATTAAAAGAGCTTCTTATTAAATATTTGGAATAATATAACCTATACCTTGTTGAAGGTGAATATTTTAGTGCGCATATTTAAGCATGAACACAAAACCGTTAAAAAACTGCATTTCGCTTGGGAAAAGCCATAAAATTCACTTTTAAGTTGGATTTTACGTAATATCTTCGTTTGTGTGCTGATAGAGCTTAAAAAAGAGTGATTTAAATTAGCAGGCGTAGCTTACCGCATTTCAAATGCACGGTATTTGCGATAGTATATATAGGTCAAGGCAGAAAAATCAAAACAAAAGGAAAAAGCATAGCGGATTAATTACTTGCAAGATTCTGTCTCCGATACTTGCACTACTAAATATTCACTCCGTTGCATGCTGAATGACGTTGTCACACGTTTAATTTAGCGAAGTCCAAATTATATGATTTATTCTTTGTTAATTGATAACTTCATTATTAATAAGGTGAAATAGGACATTATTGAAAATTGAAACAAAATAATAACAACATTATTCCTACACTTTGGTGCTTTTAGTTGCTGTTTAACAAACGCTAGTTGGAAGCAGTTATGAAAGGACAATATTGATTCTGACTTAGCCACGAGAAATAAGGGTTTGTCTATGTGTCTAAATGGCTCTGCATTATTCAGGTGACGATGCTTGCAGCATATTTTCCTTAAGGCACAGGTTGGCTGAAAACTACACTTTCACATAACGCCATGTTTTTCGACTGTGTAAATGGATTGGCCTGGTTTCTATGGGGGTTCCAAACAGGGTAATGAGGAAACGAACATCAAAAAGCAAGGTTTTAAATGCTGGTGCACTATGCCCTACTCATTTCTATTCTCTTACCTTTTACTGAATTGCTAAATAAAATGCCACTAGAATCGCGGCCCGAATGACATGATGGGAAGCTCACACGGAAAATGAATCCTCTGCTGCTAATAAATCCCTTTTTACACCAATTTCTTCTATACCTCTTTGCTAAGCAGTTAATTGGTCATTTAGAAGACCGCCAATTTATGCCCTCAAAATGCACTCCACACCCACAACTACAACTGAGTGAAGAACCAGTTTTGCATCTGGCGCCATCCATATTCAAGGACGACTTCGATTATTGACAGACTAGTTAATCATTAAAGTCGTTTATCAATGAAACAATTAGTCGACTGCACGTCCAAATATTGCTTTAAAGAATGTTCTTATCGCTCCTGAGTTGTTCGCAATATGCACAAAATTCGCCTCTCCACTTTAAGCTCCACCAGCAACTCTTCCCAATCCTTCATTCCTATTTTTGTCTACTGTCAATACTGCATTCGATAATCCTATTGTCCTGCCCTTGGTCCTTTCACACTCACTCAATACATGCAGAGCTTGAGGTCTGTTTCTCTCTAAACGCCTTTACACATGAAAGTCGACATCTTCTCGTCTTACCAAAGCTATCTGGATAATTACTTTCACTGTCATCGACGAAATCACAACTGGCACT